AGGGGGGGCTGAGCCCCTCCAACTTTTCGGCTGGGGGGGGGCTCGTAATGTATTTGAGCCCCCCGCCCCCCCCCCCCAGCTGGAGGAATCGAAATCGGAAATCTACCAACACAATTTCATAGATTCATACATATAGGCGCGGGAACCGGGGGAGAGGGCAGTGGGGGAAGCTTGCTCTCACAACTCTGGGGCCGTGGGGGCGGTGCCTCACAACTTTTCATGAGGCCAGGAACCGTTGGGGCAGCTTGTCCTCCCCAAATTAGGGGTTGTGAGAAAGGAAGAAAGCATGTGAGTGAAAAAATCTACCTATTTTACTGACTCGGCAACTCATTTGGGTGGCAGCTTAAAACCTTTATTCCAGGTTGCCAAAACGGTAGTTTCTTCACTCAGCTGAGACAGAATACCTCACTTTTTTGCAAATATTTTCTTCTTTTTTTTTTCGTTGAAAAGGCCAAGGTCTGAAAAATAAGTGGCCTAAAACCGATGAGAAAGCTAGATTTGGGGGTACCCTATAGGTTGATCTCTATGATGGTTCAGCCCCCCAGTCTGGAAGAAGTTCCCGCGCCACTGCCCTCTCCCTTCTAAACCGTTTGACGGATCAACACGAAACTTGCGGTACCTTCAAAGGCATCAATTTGACACCTGGTGTCAAAAGTTCAACTTTCTAGCTACCATAGTTTGACCGAAAATGACGTCAGAGTGACGTCATGTCGGCCGATTTTCATGCAAAATACTGAATTACGGCAAACGCTCTCAAGAGCATGTCCATAAAGTTCTAACTTTATGGACATCTCAAGAGCTCAGTTTTAAAGCTTTAGCTAGATCCATTTTCTTTGCATGAGTGGACTACAAATACACGTAGCTATCAAACTGCCATCTCGAGTTTTCGATATTTTGAAAATTTTGAAAATATGTACCTATTTACAATTACAAAAAAAATATATTTTTTTTTATTTTTTCAAAAAGTTTTTGACTTTTCGCAAAAACCGGCATATAGGTATGTGATAGAACACAAACTGATGAACTACATTTGCAAGTTTTAGCCTAATATCTTCAAAAATAGCCAAGTTATTCGCATTATTGTTAAAACTTCACTGAGAAAAAAATTGACTCCATATGGGTCAAAACTCTTGAAAATGCTCCCCTGATAACTCCTGAAAACCATCGATAACACCCTTTACAGCAGAGTTATTGAGTGTGTTCTAGGGTAACTTTGAGCCTTCCTCATTTTGCGAAAGAGATTTTAAGAGTTCTTAATGGATGGCGAAATGACTCCATGTGTGACACCCCATAACTCTGTGACGCAACTCTCCATTACTCCCGAAAAACCTTTCCCGAACGTTCCGACAGGAGTAAAAGGGGAGTTACGAAGCGGTTTTAGCATACGTCGCGAGGCTGCCGGTGGCCGCCATCTTTTGCGCGTAGTATACAGCACGTTGTGCGGGGCGGCGGGCGAGGTGTTAGTGAAGAGCGTGTTGACTTAGACGGACCTGACCTCTACAGTGACGGATAATTGGACCTTACTTTGGATTTAAAGGTAAGCTTAGCTATATTTCTCATCATGCTTTTATAGTGCAAAGTGTTATAATGCTGTGATGAGAACATATGGTATGTTCTTGTTCTTGTCCCATGTTCTTGATGGGCTGGAATGGTCTTTGTAAGGGTAATCGATTTGTTTCGTTCCTGAGTGAGATAAAGATCGGAAAAAGCATGCTCTGAGTTTCTAGGAATTGGCAAATATCATACCTAATTTCCCTCGACATGTCAGGTCGCGTGTGTCTCGTCTCGTTCGCCTACCTCTCAGTCTCCTCCCTCATTTCTTCCTTCCATCTTTCCTCGCTTCCTTCCTCACTCCCTCCTTCCCCTCCCCTCTCTCTCCCTTTCTTTCTCCCTCTCTCCCTCCCTCCCTCCCTTCCTTCCTTCCTTCCTTCCTTCCTTCCTTCCTTCCTTCCTTCCTTCCTTCCTTCCTTCCTTCCTTCCTTCCTTCCTTCCTTCCTTCCTTCCTTCCTTCCTTCCTTCCTTCCTTCCTTCCTTCCTTCTTTCCTTCCTTCCTTCCTTCCTTCCTTCCTTCCTTCCTTCCTTCCTTCCTTCCTTCCTTCCTTCCTTCCCTCCTTCCTTCCTTCCTTCCTTCCTTCCTTCATCCCTCCCCTCCTTCCCTCCCTCCCTCCTTCATTATTTCCCTCCTTCTCTTTTTTCTTTCTCCTCTATTTCCTTCCACGCAATGTTAAGTGTACCTATAATTTCATGGTTATTAACATTTTGCAGGGGATGAGCTGGAGAGCCTGCATCGCATCCCGCAAGACACGTCGGAAGCCAACGGAGGCCCGCAAAATATCCATCTCACCATCGTGAAAGGAGAGCCGGACGAAGAAGACGCAGTATTCGTCGAGGCCCAGGAGGTGGTAGCGGCACCACCAGACCAAGCATTCCTGCTGTGGTAGGCCGCCTTTTGGATCTTTAACGTCAGAACTCGCGACCGTGTAGCATATGGAGTGAGATCCCCGGAGAGCGTGCCGCGGCGGAATGTTGAAAGCGTTTGTCAATTTTTTGAGCCTCCCACCGCCCCGGACTATGAATACACATTTCTTGAAATTATATTTTTTTATCTGTGCTTCGGTACACGAGCTTTGGGTGGTTACGCTATTCGTCCAATATTTATTTTCGAGGGGGGGGGGGGGCTGGAGTGGAGTGATGGGAAGTTTGGGTGAGTTTGATTGGGTGATTTGGTGAGTTTGACTAGAGGTATACCATGAAGCTGTAAACGGAGTTTTGGGGAATAATGGAATGGAGTAATTGGGAGTAATTATGAGGCAGTAAGAGAGTCATTGAGAGTAATGGAAGGGAGTTTCAGGGAGTATGTTGTTTGTTTTGATAGGGTAAAGGAGAGAAATGAAGAGTTTTCTAAAACGGTAGGGAGAGTTGCAGAGAGTTTCTCGAGGGAAGTTTTGGGGTGTAATGGAGAGTTTTGGAGGCGGTGTAATGAGGAGTGCCACCTGGGAGTTTTTGGGTGTCGTTTTGGTGAACTCCCCCTGGGGGTGTCATGCGGAGTCAGGATTTTTCTCAGTGTTTACAATTTTATGTTTTTTTTTTTTCAAATCCATTTTTCAGTACGTTTTTGACGTCGTACAGCAATATGAATGGCACCATCGTGTTCCTGAGCTCAGACTGCATCTGATAGGCAACTTTTTTGTTGAAAAATTTCATTTTCAAAATTTGACCTTTTCTGACCTGAAAGCTGACCTCTGGTAAATTCAGCTGACAATGACCTCAAATGACACAGACGACACTATTTTCGAAATCTACGAGTAAAATGGACCATAAAACATACGTCACCTGACCGATACATGATATACAGTTTTCGTGACCTAGGATGACCTGGCCTTGACCTTAAAAATTCGAAGTAAAAGTTCAGTACCCTCAGTGTATCTAAGGCATCCGTCAAGGAGTGCGTAAACCAAAAATGAGCCTGATCGGACCGGCCGTCCGGTGGTCAGAGCCATAAATTGTGAACTAGCAAAAATGTCGATAATTTTTACTTTGACCTGACCTGTGACGTCATCAGTGACCTCAAGGTCAATGAAAATAGGTTTCGCTCGACAGTTTTTCCAGGGCTATCAGACACCGTTTGAATTTTGACGATCGGCCCAGCAGTTTCGGAGATAGGAGGGGGGGGGGGCTCTGTAGAGCCCCCCCCCCCCCCAGTCACTCGCGTTATGGAAAATACCCCAGTCATGCGCGGGTTAATTGAAGGTGTTCCGCCGCTACTGCCTGCACAATGAGGAAAATGCACCCACCCCACAAGTCTTTTACAAGCGTCCTTTCTAGAGGCGAGAGCACGGCGCCCTTCGCGTCAGTAGCGGCGGAACACCTTCAATTAAGGGGGGGGGGGGCACTGCCGACTTTTGGTCCCATTCTTTCCAAGCAACGGCCATAGGGCTAATGTTAAAATGCCAAAATCAGAGGGGGCACCCGGCACGGTGCGGTGCCCTCCCCGTTCCGCCGCCTATGCAAGAGAGTGAGGTCTAACGGCGCCCTCCTGACCGTCTCGCGCACTTACGTCTCTTTCCATAGGTGTCGATTTCCGCCGGGTTGGGGGTGCCCAAGCTCTCTAAACTCCCCGTCCCCGTCGGCTCGGCCGGCTTGGCTTTGGAGTAGAGGTGGCAAAAGATGAAAATTTTGGAAACCAGACTCGAACCAGACCCGGCTGGACATTTCTGGAACCAGTCGGACCCGGCCTTAGTTGGAATCGGAACCAGTTGGACCCGGTTCCCCAAAAGTCGATTAATACAAACTACTTGTAGGTATCATTAGTATTTAGTTGCATCATGTAAAGCAGCCTATTTCCCACTGGGAATACTCATGAGCTACTGTGTGCCAAGAAACATTCACTTCATTCACTTCATATTTTGCAATAATTTGTAGTGTGCAAGATGTACAGTTTATGGTAGGATCCGGTTGGACTCGTCAGAAAATTTCCAGGAACCGGTCTTGACCCATATGGGTCCAGACTGGTTCTTTGGACCGGGTCCTCGAGTCCATATTTTGCCACCTCACTAGTGGAGCCCTAACAGACGGCGCGGGTCAAGGTCACCGCTAATCTTGACAGCTAAGGCGGCGGCGGCGGATTTGCTGAGCCCGGGCACCCTCAACTCGGTGAAAATCGACACCCATGTCTCTGTCCACCGTGCATCCATCGACTGTATGGCGCCCTTCTGACCTCTCTGCGACCGTGGATCATCTATAGCATTTTTAATCACCTGTCGCGATTGTGGGAGAATGGCGCCCTTTTGACAGCCTGCGCCCTTCTCATGGTCTAACCCTCGCCCGCACATGCCATTTTCCCATCCATGTATTTCGTTTCTTTTGTGGATGAAATGACTTTCCGACGAACCGTGCCTGCAGCCAAGATTACATAGGTGCTACTTTACTTCTCCTTGCAGCCCCTCCCCCGATTCCCGCGTCACTGAAGGAAATGTCTAAGCCATGCTATTAACTACAAATTATTTTTAAAACATATATTTCTGAGTAGAAGTAGACGGCTTTGCAGTAGAACATTACTCGTTAGAATCTCTGTCACTTTCCCCCGTCAAAGGCACGCCCTCAGATAAACGGCAGTGGCAGTGCAGGAGCATGAACATACACGGGGCAGTGAGAAGCAACACAAGCATCACAAAACACATACCTACATAGAGACTATCTGAAGAAAGCCTCGGTAGCACTTCATGCAGGTTATTCCGAAGTAGGAATGTATTGTAGTGGTATATTTTTAAACACGTCGCACCGTTGTCCTCTTCTTTATTTCAGCGAGCTGAAGGAGGTCTATCCCTGGCCAGTCGTCCAGTCCCAAAATTTACTGAAAAAGCCGCCCGGTTCGGAGGTTGTCCCCACCTTCCGGTCAGCCCCACTCTGAGTGACCGGGCCTTCAGTGTGAGGTTTGGCGGCAGGTGTCCTCGGATCCTCTCCTCTTTTCCCCACCAGCGCCGGCCCGGGTCTGCCGGTCCTCGCGCCGACGGTAGCAGGGGAGCTGCCGAACGGCGAGATATCCGTCACCGGGGGCTCGGCCAGAGTCGTGACGGGGTCTTCCGACACCGACTTCGGAGCGGCCGAAACCACGGTCGCTACATTGTCGCTGAAATTTTCTACGAGTGTCACAGGCATGTCAGCCACAGCGGGAATCGTCTGTTCAAGGTCCGTTCCCTTTGCAATATTAGTTTCCTTGAGTTCAGGCATCTGTGGAACGTCGATTTTCTCTTTGTCAACTGGCACGGGGCTACCCGCCTGCTCTTCCAAGTGTTCTTTCTGATCTGCTGATTTTAAGAGATCGTTCGCCTTCTCTCCCTCAGCTTCCACAAGATGTTCTTCCGAAAGAAGTTCCGACCCCAGCGTCGTCACGTTATCCGATGTTATGAGCTCGGACGCTGCCGGATACTCTGTTGTTTCACCGTCTGCTATGGCAGGCAGGTATGTTGCAGCACTTGTCACACCATCAGAGTCCATTAGAATGTCACCGGACGCTTCCACATCATCAGATATACCCTTCTTGCTGACGTCTACCGCTCGATCCTCGGCGCCGTCCAGTCGCTCTCGGAGTGAGCCGGGCGAAGTCGCTGGTCCGCGGTCGCTCTTGCGCCTCTCGACGGCCAGCTGCCGGTCGTCGGCGGCCGCCTGTCGCTCCGTGCGCGCCAGTGAGGCGACCACGAACGACTCGATGGCGGCCTCGTTGGTGCCCCGCCGGATGCGGAACAGACCACGCTCGCCCCACCCGGTGCCCCACGAGTTGGCCGCCAACTGAAACAGGAGGGAAACGGATCAGAAAACATCCCAAACTCAGGAGTTGACCTCTAGCCGAACCAGGGGAGGGGGGAACGAGCGGCTCAGAGCACATCGGGCGCTCCACAGTCATTACCTACACAAAAATTATCAGGACAAAGAGCCCTGCACTGTCAATTCTTTATTGCCCTCAACTTACCGAAAAAGAGGAGATAACTAGACTATTCTTCCGACCAATTGATAAGCTACCCAACTCATCAAACCAAAAACATATTTTATGGTCATACATCTCATTCATTAGGCATGAGATGTAGGAATATAGAGAATTCTCATATATTCTATGAGCATTAGGATCATTGTATCACAGCACGCACGTCCCTTTCACAGTTTTATATGCCGGCACAGGACCGGAACTGTATCAGCAGCGCGCCGGGTGACCCCTGTCGGGCGTCTGAGGTGTTGTGTCCTGTCTCGTCTGAGGTATGCGCCGATCGACCGTCTGGGCCGTGGCCACTGGAACCCGGACGGGTCGCGGCCCCGGATGCAGCTCCCACTGGTCCGGTGTCTTTCAGTCGGGTCCCGCTTGGGACACGGTTGAGGGTCGGTGTCGGATGTGTTTGTGGAAAACAGCGGGGAGTCCCAGTATTCCAGAAACGGAGGCCGATTACGAGCTTTCAGCTCATCTCAGCATGGTTATTTTAGGAAGGATTGTGTTAATTTTGAGTGGTGTAGCTTTCACATCAAGCTATGTTTTGCGATGGTGTACTGAGCTGGTATATATTCACATTGCATGCAATGCAAGCTACCTACAATGAAAACAGTTGCATTGATGATATGGCAAAAATTTTAAACTAACATGATACGGGAAAAATAATGAAGGGGTTCCGCTATATGTATATTCCACAAGGTGAAAATTCATTAGGCATGGGACAAAAAAAAAATATTAAGCATATTTTTCTCCGAGTTGTTTTCCCTGTCCCGCTCACCCAGTAGGGCGTCACTCGTCCGGCAGTGACCTGCTCGCCCCAGCCGATCAGCCGCACAGAGTGGTAAGCGGCTCGGGCCTCGCCCAGCCGAGAGGCGCGGTACACGCCCGACCGGTACAGGAAAAAGTCCGGCTCCACTCGCAGCAGCGCTGGGGGAGGAGAAACCCAAACGGCGAGTCGGTACCACCGGACAAACGCGGGCAGAGAAATACACAATCCTGTACAAATAAGACTGCGATAGATGTTATATTTGACTAAACGACTGATGAGACCGATGGGATGAGTACCGATGACCCGAAACCACCCAATCTGATCTTATAAACTGAAACAAATTAAAAAAGACAACAGTTGACGGCAACTGGCTCGCCAAAGTTCCACCAGGCGAGCTCTCACAGCCGCCGGCGCGCCGTGCCCCGGTCTACCCCGGTCGGCTCAGGCATTCACTGACCCTGTACGGGGCCGCTGGTGAGGATCTCGTGTCGGATGTCCCGCTCCCTGCTGGCGATGCGGTAGGAGGGCTGCATCCAGTAGCGGCGCGCGCACACGGTGCGGTTGGAGCTCGCTCGGCGGTCGCAGCGCCCGCGCCGACCGGTTTGCCCCGATCGGTACGGGACACACAGGGTGGACCGTACCCTGCCGGTAATATAGGGACGGCGGACCACCGCGCCGGGCCAGCCCAGTCAGCAGTCGCGGGGCGTCAGATCGCGCCGCGGCGGGATGTCGAGTGGCAGGGTTACTCTGAGGGACGAAAACACATATTCATGACAGAGCCAGTACACCATGGGGTAGCCGTGCGCCCAAAATCCAAACATCATTCCAGCGAACATGCTGCTAACTATTAGCACTGATAGTTACACACTCAGCTTCAGTGATGAAACGATGCCTGTGATCACAGACTGTACCGCAGATCATAGGGCCTGCGGGCTGCGACTCTACATAGCTGTAGACTTACGAGTATAGAGTACCCGGCGATAGACTCCTGCGGCATTAGACTGTACCGCAATACATAAAAGGCGTCAGACTCCTATGACTTTAGACTGTGTCTAATACCTGTTGCAGGACATAGGACCTGCGGCTATAGGCTGTTCCGCAGTACAAATGTCGGCGTCAGACTCTTAGGACTAACGACTGGACCGCAGGACATATGACCTGCGACTATAGACTGCGCCGCAGTACTTACACGGACCAACGTAATCAGCCTGTGAATGCAGACCTGTCGGCGTCAGACGTCTGCGACTATGTAAGTACATACTGCACCGCAATACCAGGCCGCCAGCGTCAGACGTCTGCGACTACATACTGCACCGCAATACACGTCATGGCCGACGTCAGACGCCTGTAACTATAGACTGTGCCGCAATACACGTCACAGGCCGGCGTCAGACGCCTGTAACTATAGACTGTACCGCAATACACGTCATGGCCGACGTCAGACGCCTGTAACTATAGACTGTACCGCAATACACGTCATAGGACGGCGTCAGACGCCTGTATCTATAGACTGTACCGCAATACACGTCATAGGCCGACGTCAGACGCCTGTAACTATAGACTGTACCGCAATACACGTCATAAGCCGACGTCAGACGCCTGTAACTATAGACTGTACCGCAATACACGTCATGGCCGACGTCAGACGCCTGTAACTATAGACTGTGCCGCAGAACACATTAATCGGCGTCAGACCCCTGTTACTATAAAACAAGTCATGGCCGGCGTCAGACGCCTGTAACTACATATAGACTGTACCGCAGGACACATAGGCCGACGTCAGACGACTGACGCCTGGGATTGTAGGCTGTACCGCAATACACGTCAGACGCTTGCGACTAGGTATAGACTGCATCGTGGGATGTGGGATGTAGGACCTGTGGCTTACACCACAGGTCGACTGTGTGACTGTATCGCGATAGACATAAGCCGGTCGTCAGACGCCTGGGACGGTAGACTGTGCTGCAATACAAATCATGAGATGAGCCGGTGTCAGACGCCTGGGACTTCTGCGCCAGCACTCCCATAATTGCAAGCAAATCTCTGTTCCAAAATTACCAAAAATGGTTTACCGGTGTCCCTCCCTTCTTTTTTTTTCAATAAATTCATGCAAAGTTGTGTATCAAATATCAACCATTCTTTCCATTTCTTGTAACCGATTTTGAATGCTCAGCGCCCAATGTGAATCAGGACCTCTGACTTATAGGTCGAGTGACACCAGCAGCTGGAGAGCACGTGAGAGCACACCACACACCCGTGGTGCTGCAGGTAATTCCAGCAAGGCAGGTGCTGGAGGGTCAGCACGCTACCTACCCGTGGTGCCGCAGGTGGTTCCAGGCTCTGTCGGGCCGGCCGCCGCGGCACCCGCCGCCCCCCTCCGTGTCGGTCACGCAGTTCAGCAGCTGCTGGGGACTCAGCGCCACGCGCTCCCCCCTCTGAATGGAGAGCCGGTCGGAGGCGACGTCGGCCGTGGAGACGGCCCACGAGCCGCCGCACCAGCCCTGGTCGGCCACACCGCCCACCAGCGGCGCCCAGCCCGGTCGGCGCCGCGCGTCGAACGCGGCCGGCAGGCGCACGGCGTGCAGCACCTTGACGATCGGGTGGGTGAGCGCCACCTGACGACACACAACGAGCAGGAGGGCGCGATGGTAAAGATAAATTGATAAATGACAAAAGAAGTGAAATATTAGCGACGCGATTCGAAACAAAATATAGCCGATATTTGTTTTTAACCCGCGAGTTGCTGGGGGGGGGCGTTAAACGCCCCCACTTTTTTCGCCGGGCCATAGCATAAAAACGGCGCGCCGCAGGCGCGCCAAATTTCGGGTACCTGTAGGGAATTGATTGAAGTTTATTGTGACAAAGTTTAAAAAAAATCGGTCAGAAAATTTTTGAGATATCGAGGTTTTAGTGACGTCATGATTTCTGAGTTTTCGACCAAAAACGGCATATGTTCAAAAAATCATATAAAATCACAGAATAGAGATATAGACATGCCGTAAACGCCATTAGACTGCCAATACCATGGTCAATCAAATGGCTATCTTCGATTATTGATTATCGTTCCGCATTTTCCATAATCTTGAACTGAATCTTGGCAATTTTTCGTGACTCCTTCACGACCATGATACATGAATTTCTTAAATTTAACTTTTTGAGCCAAACACGTACACATATGATAAAATGAATGTCACCATCGTGTTCTACGCCCCAAATTACCCATAAAACATGTGTCACAGGCTGCGAATATCAGTTTTGATTTTCGGGGATATGTGCCTACCCGGTTGACCTGACCTTGACCCTGACCTATGCTTGACTGACCCCTACATGGAGCTGACACTCTTGTAGGCCTTATTAGATGGATTGTGCACCGTTTTCACAGCGTTTATGGCGAGAGGCGCCCATTGCGAAGTCCTGAAGTCCATGCCACTGAAAGCCCGATTTCAGGCGTTTGACCTGACCTTGACCTGACCTGTGACCTCAAAATTCGACTTTAAAATACTCATCTGAAGCGTCTCGTCGCGCTCTTTCGTTTGCCGCCTCGTGCGTTTCGCTGCGCCTATTGGTTCTCGAGTTATCGGCTGGGGGCGTTTAACGCCCCCCCCCCCCCCAGCAAACGGTGGGTGGCGAAATACCCCAGCAACTGCCGGGTTAAAGTAAATGTTAATTTCCATGTAAACCTTCAACGTCTTCCGCCAGAATAATCCACTAGTTAGTTCATCAGAGCCCACTGACTCAAATCTCTAAAGCAGCAGCGCAGCTCCTGTCACAGTCTCGGACAGCGCGCTGGCTGTGACTCGGGTCGCCGGCCACTAACCGTCTGTCTGTCTGGAGATACGGTGCCGGTCAGCTGCAGCAGGCCGCTGCGCAGCGTGCGGCCCCAGAACTGGCTGTGGTTGGCGGCCGTCCAGCCGAGCTGCTCGGCCTCGCCCTCCAGCTGGAGCAGCAGACGCGGCTCCATCAGGCACGTCTCAGAGCCGCACTGCACTGTGGGCGCCGCCGCGCTGCCGCCGCACGCGCTGCAGGCGGCCGCACAGCGGGCAGGCCGGGTCAACACGGTCTGACAGTATATACAATCAGCTAGTCAGTTGAAATTTCCGCAACGATAGGCATTTGAAGATAGGTGTGTCTATGAGACATTTTACAGAGATTTCGGTCATATGCGGAAAATGCTTTCGATACAATGACCTTGACCTTGATTGGTCTGTCCTGTGAACAGCATTTATTGATTTAAAAGGTTATTTATGCATACATTTTGCTTACCATGGGTTGCAGTTATCCATCACAGTTGTTCCGTACGGTAAGGTCTGTCCCTTATATAAGCAATCTGAAGGGGCATAACACAACAGTATTAACACAACGGGAAGGTTGAAAATAGGTACAATTAAAACAAATTAGTTATGTCACTACTAGGAGAAACTAAAATAGTGCGAGCTCGACAACACCAAAATAAAGGTAAAAGGACCGTGTAGACTTAGCAAAATGTTTGGGCGGTCTATAGCATCACTGTCAACCATGAATCAGAAAAGACGATTGCTTTCGAGAAGGAAAACAGAATGCACTTTTTGTCAATCGCGAAGACAGGAGGACTGGGAGAGTTGCAACTGAGCCATGACCCACCTCTGGTCGCGGGTGGCGGCGGGGGAGCGCTCTGGCACAGCGCGAAGTAGTCGGGGCAGCAGTCGCCGCTCAGCCCGCGGTCACAGAACTCGTCGCAGTAGCAGACCGTGCCCAGGATGGCCACGCTGCACTCGTCCGTCCGGTTGGCGCAGCATCGCGCTGGGGTAGGTGGGGAGGGAATCGGTCAGAGGTCCCAGATCAGTCCCAGGTGCCGCGGTTCAGGTATTATTGAGATAATTTTGTCCTTGCGACAGCGACACTAAATTCGTTGGAGAGGGGGGGGGGCAGACGGTGCCACCATCATTTAAAAACTGACTTACAATTCTCACGGCGTTTTTCGCAGTATTTTCCGGGCAGATCTGAGTAGTCGGGTCTCAGCTGTCCTATGACGGTGCCAGCACACAGTGCCAGTGCTAGTGTCAGCAGCGTGCCACGGTGCCCACCACGCGACCGGCGGCCGGCCGGGGTCATGTTTCTGTCGTCTGAAACAGAGCACGTGTCAATGGTAAGCGGCGGTAGCCGGTAGGTGACATTGGCCTGCAATGTCGCAATTGGAACGAATCGGGAAGAGGCGTTACATGCACATTTACACTTTGTGTCGGACCTACGTGACGAAACTCGTGGTGTGATTTATTTTTCTCGGCGTCATCGGCCCGCACACTTACGACTCGTTTGTGTCGTGCTCCTGGACTCGGGCTTCATCTTGCGTTTCCGGTGTCCATGCGGTCGGAGCACAAGCGCTGATGGCCTTACCTTTTATCATCGGCAACGCCTTTCCAATTTATCTGTAATGCAAAACAAAATCAATGGGAAGTTATCATTGCGAACGAGCGAGCGAAGCGAAGTATTTTCAATAGGTATAACAGGAAATTTTCAGCATGAGCGGCCCGGCCCGGTCTGCAGCGCTTTTGAGGAGCCTACGAGTATATTTCAGCAACTTCCGGGCTGATTGACTTGCGGTCTTCTTTGATACATAGGTAGCCCCATTCCTTCTACCCCGCCCGTAATGACTACTCTTGATGCATCTACTATATGTGACCGTCGCGTGGTGGCACGTGACACGTGATAAGTCAAAGGTGTTCAAGTTATTCTGCTGAAGGAGTGCTTTTGACAGGTGTACTCGTATATCTCAGCAACCACTGCACTGGGGCGATTGACTTGCGGTCATTTTTGTAGGGTAGTTAAATCCCTTCTAACAAACATATATCGATGCATAATGCCCCCCCCCCCCCCCCACTGCACGTACCAAATGCAAAATAAAGAGGTGTCAAGTGTGTTCCCGTTACGATAACATGGCATATTCAGCGAATAAACTCCAAAGAAAAAGTAAATACTTGCATACCTATACCTACACCGCCTTACCGATCTGAAGAACTGACAGTGGATACTTAGGGTATGTATGAAATGTTTATCCCGTACTTCGATATCTATCGGTGATACAGGACCAGATTAAATAGAATTGCGACCTCCGCGACGTAAAGCAGTTGTAAAATTACTTTCGGCCTGAGGTATAATTTTTAAGTTGGCTACTCGCTCATGGCAAATTCAAGTTTTGTTCGTTTCATCTTGATGAAATAAATCGATTAATTGTATAAAAAGAAATCGATACAGCATGCATTTTATCAAACGCCTAAGTCAAGAAAGCCCCTTTCCGCATTAACCGTCTATCCGGCTGTTTCGTTTTTGAGTATCACACTCCATTTCGAGGACGTCTTTCGAAAGAGCTTTGAATCGGGCCGAACAAAAATGACTCGGCTTCATAGAGATGTGCCGCTATCGAATGTCTTTTTGCAATGCTCTCATTTGATTCAGTAAGCCACAATCTACCAGCCTGTAACTAAAAAAGGTCGAATTCAGAAGCTCAGTCGCTTAGTAAACCCTTCTTACGGCCGAACTTTGACCTGACCTACAAGTTGCCAATTCTTCATTATTTCAACGACCTTTCTAACATCACTCACTGATGGCAGATACGTTCAGCTCTGTACACATTAGCATCTCACATCGCATCACTGACAATGCGATACGTACGAATGCAACGCTGACAACTTTACGTTCTTAGTCATGTCCTCCTACGAATCCGATGAGTAAAGTTCTCCCACCTGTATCCATGGACTATGGAGCCGAGCTGTGTATGGCGTTCCCTGCGGTCCAGTTCGGTGCACCGCTCCACGGCCGTGTCTCTGTGGAACTGGCGTCCGCCGCCGGCCAGCCGGTCAGGTGTCGTCCCCGCCCGCCCCGCGAGCCAGGTCGGGTTCGGAGTGTACAGGCGCTGACGCGGCCATGTCATCAGCATTCCGTGGGGCACTCTCCTCGCCCCCGCCCGCAGGGTCCCACGGCAGCATGGAGCCGACGTCCGTCCCCTCCCAAACCCTTCTATAAAGGGATCGAAAGCCCTCCGTGTGAGGGTCTCCTCACTAAACGCTCCATGACGGGGCCCGCTCACTCGCACATCCCTCCATGGAAGGACAATTATTCTGATTCCTCCCATATCCCTTCTTTTCGTTCACACACCTCTCCTCTTCGCTCCCTCCCACGCCCCATCGTTCCATCCCTCCCTCCCCCTCCACGACAGGGCCCTACCCTACCCTCCCCCCATCATCCAGTCAGCTCGCTGGGATAAGTTGCGTCGGATCCACGTTACCGTTTTCGTGACCGTGCATGCAGTGCTCTTGTCTTGTAGCCAGACGACAGTACCTTCTTGACATATTTTATGGGTCACGCTCGATGGACCACAAGCAGTAGCAACGAGCATATTTCTCAGGGCATAGTTGGGCAGTGCCCCGGCTTCAAACATTTTGACAGGCGCAATAAATGTCGGCAGCACTTGATTTTAAATAGGCATTTTATTAGTCAGGTAGAAACTGACAAAAAGCGATTATAAAACACTTTATAGATGAGCTCCACAGCCAGAGTTTTCGTCAATATTTGTCAAGACGAGTCAGTGAGTGGGAAAGGTTTCAATGAAAAAGAGCTACTGCATTAAAACCCGCGCGGGGCTGGGGGGGGGGTAAATTTTACCCCCCCTCGCGAATTTTTGCGATATCTCAAAAACGGCGGCGCGCAGCGCCGCCAAACTTTCAGTACCTTTTTTTACATCAATTTGACACGCTCCCTGAAAATTTGAGCGAAATCTGTCGGAAAATTTTTTGAGAAATTGACGTTTTAGTGACGTCATGTTCGCCATTTTCGCCTCAAAAACGGCAAAAGTTCAAACGCCGCTAACATCTTCATTTTTAAAGGAATCAAGACGTAACAAAAAAAAGGTTATACGTAATTTTACTTTGTCTATCAAATGGCTATCTCGGTTTTTTGAAAATTTTGGATTTTGGCCTAAATTTTTTTCAAAAAACTGATTTTTTTGGGAAAATCATTATAAAATCCAAAATTATGAGTCTATCGAAAAAACCGGAATATATGTTAGAGAAGTGGTCTATGTGCACCTACATACCAAATTTTAGAAGAATCGGTTCAAAAATGTGGGAGTTATTCAAAATTTTATGACGTCACGACACACAAATTTTTTGAAAAATGACTTTTTTGGAAGTTCTAGACCTCGTACGGAAACAAAAATAGCACCATTCGATTCGCCGTGAAAAACTGCATCAGATAGACACCTTTTTTAGGCCTTAACAACCAACTTCAAAATTTGACCTCACTTGACCTGACCTTGACCTGACCTCGACCTGAAATTCATCCAGAGGTGGTCCATATCACTTATTGAGTGTGCCTATTGAATTCTATGAGTAAAATGACCCATAAAACATGTGTCGCACATGCCCTTTTCTATATTTTGTTTTTTTGGTGACCTGACCTGACCTAACCTGACCTTGACCTTGACCTCTGAATGATATTGTATGCAACGAATATTGTCTTGGTAGCCTAAGAACACGTTTTGGGCGATCAGTCTCAGTCCATGACTCCATTCTTCGGCAACTACGGTGCAAGGCCGATACTGTAGAAACTTGCAATTTGTACCCTTGACCTGACCTTGACCTTGACCTCAAACTTTAAATTAAGTACATGTTTTTAGTAGTTCGTGATGAGAGCTTTCGATTGGCGCTTGAATTTTCCAAATCGGACCATTAGTTCGGGAGATAACAGGGGGGGGGGGTAAAATTTACCCCCCCCCCCAGCCCCGCGCGTTCGGCTGGAGACCCCAGCCCCGCGCGGGTTAAATGCTATGCCAGGTGACTTTCCTATAGTTAGATCATTTTCTTGGCGTGAACGTTACTCGTTGCGAACACACATGCGATGCGAATGCGATGCAAACAAGTCGACACTTGCCAATTAACGTCATCTAATGCGCCTGGAGATGAGGAACGTAACAGCTCACGAGCAAATTTTGTTGCACCATTCTTGACGGCTATATTTATCACAAATAATCCAGATTGTCGACCTGACCCAAGTGTGTTTCTGACGACCAGGGATCTTAAAAATTGGCTGCCACTCACTAACGCTATTGACAGCGAACACGCCGTTTCTCTCGCGACGCTCTATCAGGGAGGGCGACTGATCGAATCGTCGACTTGCCCATATCAACCCGCTCCCCCTGCAGGGAACTGACGAGTCTTGCAGGGGTGAGGGTGGTAAACCCAATTAAACAAAGCAACTAAAATTGTGTTTTATTTGATACCAAAGCCAAATGACCGACGACGGTACCTGCAACGTAAACAATGATAAATTATACAAAACCAAATACATTCCGCTGGAACATGCACATTGCACAAGTTCTTAAAACGACCGACCACTTCATCGTATCACATGCGCCAAGTCCACACAGCTCTTGTAGTCACATACTGTCCTTGAGAGATTCATCCACAACAGAGTATAACTAATTTGGTCGTTAGACACAACCGCTCGCTATCGCTGACATTCGCAGGCTACTGTTCCAGCCACGGACGGTGGTTTTAAAACGGCGGCTCACTCGTTTAACCCGCTCACTAGTTTCACGCCGCCGGCTCCAGCCTCTGTAGCTCCGCAGGTCGACGTCCCCGACCCTTGGCATCAGACAGCGGCGTAACGGTAGGGTCGTTCGCTAGGCGGCCCTCGCCATCTGATGGTGCACCCCCTAGGAAAGGAACAGAAAACACATCAATTCGCCGCTCCAACCTGTTCGCTCAGAAATTGCACTGTCGCTGGTACTGCTCTACAAATCATTGCAGATTAGACAAACAGCCTGCAAGTTCCCTGGCAGCACTGCAAACTGCAACGAAGAGTCACTTCCCGCTCCCCAGTGTTTCAGGAAGGAAGTTCCACTCACTGGTTTCGGAAAATTTAGAAATGAGCTCTCGGACGGTGGGCGAATCCAGGCTTCGGAAGGAGTCGAAGTGGAATTTGCTCACGTCTGGTGACAGTTCGGAGTCGCTCTGATCTCCAGCCGGCTGGAAACCAGAGCCGAGAACCACCATCAGACAGAAGCGGACGCCAGACCAGCACTAACGCCACGACAGGGTGGTGGGCAATTGAAAAGTGGAAAGACCGTGTGTTCACACGGTGTTGCCGATCAAGTGCTGCTCCAAGAGCCTAGGAGCGATATCTTACAAGGTTTGATGGTGGTCCCTTCTGGAATGCACTATTATCATGAATCTAAGGAGTTTCATGATTATGGGTGCAGTCGTCACTGCAGATTGACTGCAGTCATTTTTTTTTTTAATTGGACGCCTTACACCGTAACAAACGGTCGAGCTCGATTTCCCGCCACGTCTCGTACAGTAAGGCATGTGATATGCATAGTTAGCAATATTCCCGCTTTATCAGCCCATCCAGACACTATGGGGCTGTCACTTCCCCCCCCCCCCTACCCCGGCCGGTACCCACCTGCGCGGGGTCGGCGCCCTCGGCGGGCGCCGGGGCCGGGTGCAGGGCGCCCTGGCCCTCGGCGGGCGCCTCCCCGTCGGCGGGTCCGTCTCCGGGTGTGTCGGGCTCGTCGGCGTCCTGCGGTTCGGGCAGCTCGTAGATCTCCACCCCGTCGCCGCCGGGCAGGTCCGGCACCAGGATGTCCTGCAGCGACTCGTGGATCCACCGGAACAGCTGACCCTGTAGGGAGGCGGTGACACAGGGCCGTGGGACGGCGCGCATTGGGGAGGGGTACAACCTGAACGGAGGACACAAACTGCAAATCACGAGAATGCACGCACATGAGTATGCTCTAGCATCACGCAATGTCACCGCAAAAATAAAACTATCCAATAAAGGTCCGCATCTCCATGCATAGAAGCGCCGATTAATTACTTAGCTTCATTTTCCGTTCAAACTTCAAAGTTATCGTCCAGTGATGGGTCGGCGTCACTCTTACCGGGTGTATGAGTAGCGGGACGGCCACCCAGTAGTAGAACAGGTTAAAGGGCAGCCGCCAGAAGAGGGCCACCGACCGTCCCACGAACAGGGTGGCCACCTCGGCCATCTCAACCTCCCACAGCGGACGGTCTGCGGGCAGACGGGCGGAGGCGGGCATCAGAGTAGAGCCGGCACCGGAGGACAGAGTTCAGCTATTTTCGTCGCCAATCGCAAAACAAACGTCGAATGACACTGCATTTCTTCTATAGAAGCTTCCACGACACACTGAGTGACTCAAATCCGTTCTATTTTATTTTACTACTCAAGCCGCACAATTGAACGGATACTGAATATTACCTGAAAATAAGAGCCTACAACCGTTAAAAATAATACTTCTGCCGTAAAGGAGAGAGGACATCTGTTGTCCCAGTTGCCTGAAATACGTTCAACTTAACCCTCGCCCGTAAACGGCGATCTGCCACCTTCGCCCATGCAGGGGGGGGGGGTTGCTGCGACCCCCCCCTTGGCGTTTGAAAACGGAGCGTCGTAGAGCTTAGCGGAAAAAAACAACGGATTGCTCTCGCCGAGATCTCGCGATTGGTGGTATATTTTTTGGTCCTAGGTCAACATTTGACCTACTTTTGACCGGTCAAAGGTCAAATTTTCGGAAAAATAGACTTTTTTCAACTTTCGGCGGCGATTGCGGCAAAACGGTGGGAGATATCGACTTGAAACCTTCACTATCGTGTTCCTTGATCAATTCTCTATCGTTTGGTATGTATTTCGTTTCCCTAGCTCTAAAAATGGCGCGTTGGGAGCGCCGGAAGTCGGCAAGGTCACAGTCGGCGGCAGAAATTCGAAAAATCAAAATTTAAATTTTGGAAATCTGATTGTATTTTTGGATTTGGAAGGTCCATTTGCTCCCTATAGAAGCTAATATTGCTGCATATTC